AGGATTCAGCATAAATAAAAACTGTACCCTGTTTCTCCCCATTTACATTCACTCCTGTAGTACATAAAAGGCCCAATCAGGAGGGTTTGTCCCTGTGGAGAGAGGCATGGGCTGGCTTTGCCTTTCTAGTAAGTCATCAGCCTGCCAATAAGCAGGCTGTGGGGGTCTCTGCCCCACCCGCACTGGGATTATGGTTAGAAAATCCTCAGAACAACCAGGTTTTGAAATGCAGATGCCAAGAGGGCTGCAGACCCTGGCTGAGTTGCCATACCAACAACCTTGTCTAACTCCAGGTGCCTGGAAGTGCTTAATACAATTTTGTGATGGTGAATAATCTACCTTAGCGGGCCTGAGAATACCGTATACACTGTGCAGTGTGTCTTTTGGATACCTGGTGAATTGTAATTGGTGGTTTATCCACTCCCCAGTAGAGTTTAACGTCCGCTCGTTGATGGTAGGAATTGCATCTTATCTGAACTTCACGCTCCCCCCAGCTCCCAGCACAGTGCCCTCTCTACTCTGTGGGCATTCAGTACATATTGATTGATGAAATATTTTGGTAGAATCAATGTAACCCTGCAGGTGCTCCACCCCGTTCCTCCTTCCCCACCCCCAAATGTTGTCAGTCAGTGTGACAGTCAGTGTCCAGAGGGCCACCACATAAATCCAATGGGATCTGCCGGAGAGCTGCACAAAGCCTACCAGAAATCATGTAAAAGATATGAGAGCCAAGAATGGTAGTTTGCCTTGCGTGGGTGCCGGGGCCCTTCCCTTTGTTGGGCAGGGGTATGAAAATCACCCGTCTTCCTGTGTTTGGCAAAACTCAAGGTCAATGCTGGGGCTCATTTTCCCACTAGTGTGGTGGCATCAAAAGTCAGTGAAATCTATGCCCAGATTCATGATTTGTCTGTAATATCTTGAGCCCTTTTTTGCATTTCATTTATTTTCTAAAAATCTAATTAGAGGCAGCTTCCCCCCCACACACACACCCTGCAATTGTTTGCTTTGGGAATTTACACAGTTAGAGGGATTTTTCTGGCAATAGTATGTAGATACTGGGAGATGGCTGTTCAAAAATCCCTGGGAATTAGAACTCTTAGAGGCCTTGTCAATGTGTACATCATCAGTTTTGCTGTCCAGGCCACTGGTGGTAGCAAGAGAAGCTATACCAACTGTCATCCCTAGAAAAGCTCGGTGCTACCCTTAATCCCTAACGACAGAGAGAAGAGGTGAAGGTGCAAAGGTCATCATGCTAAAGCAGTAATTAATTAAATTATAACAAACTTCTACCTCAGTGGAACTCCCAGAGCAGCCAGAGAAATGATGGTTGTCTCATCACAAGAGAGAAATATTTCCAAGAGCTATCTTAGCCCAAAGTGCTCAGGGAAGAAAAATGGGTTGGATAGGGAAACTATGTGAGTCAAGTATCACCCACCAATAACAGTCTCATATCTAAAACATGCAGGGAATTGACATAAATCTGTAACACCAAGACCCACTCCCCAACAGCTAAGAGAACAAAGGATAGGAACAGTTTTCACAAGAACTGGAAACTGCAAACAACCACTTGAAAGCAGGCTCCAAATCACAGCTCCTCCAGAAAAAGGCAAATTAAAACTACTCTGCAATTTCATCACATACCACAAACATTGGCAAAGATGACAGAAAATGGGAATAATGTTGAAAGAGTTTTCTAAAGACAGGTCCATGAGTGCACTATTGGTGGTTCTGTGAAGTTCAGCCATGCTGGATATCAGCTGTGAATTATACTTTAGAAAAAGAGTTAAACTTGAAAACCACTCTACCCTGCCTTCCCACTCCTGGACATGAACACCAAAAGCTTAACCTCTCAGTGTCATAGGCCATAGCTTCTCCAAGTGTGGGCCGAGGAGCCCGAGGGGTCCCCAAGACCCCTTCAGGGGTTTCAGGAGGTCAAAACTATTTTCATAATAATACTCAAATACTGCTTGCCTATTAAAATACTCTTCCATTTTCTAACTACATATCTGTGAGTCTAGATCTTATTCATGTAGTTCAACAAAAACAACATATCGCAACAGATTGAATGCAGAAGCAGATAGGAAAATCCAGCTGTCTTCTATTAAATCAGAAATTAAAAAGATTTGCAAAAAAAATGTAAAATGGAACCACATGACTCACTAAAATTTTTGAATAGTTATTTTTCATAAAAATATGTTATTATTTTAATGAATTAATATTTTACAAATTTATCAGTTAATTTCTAATGCATATTGATAGATATGACACATATAAGTTCTTTGGTGTCTTCAATTTTTAGGAATATAAAGGGCCCTGCGCTAATACTCTTCCTTCTAGGTTTTTATTACACCATTCTCTCCGAGTTGTCCTCCTCCCTATCTGATCATGCCTTCTCAGTATCTTTTGTTGGATCTAACCATACGTGTCCCACAAGGTTCTGTGCTGGGCCCTCTTCTCTTCTCCCATCATACTATTTCCCTTAATGACATCTCATCAGCTCCCATGCATTCATCTCTAAGCTGATGAGCCTCAGATCTGCTTATCCAACCCTAACCTTTCAGCTGACCTTCATTCTCACTTCTCCAGGTGCCCATTGGACATCTCAAACTGGATTATCAAAAACTGAACTCATTGTCTCCCCCCTCTCCCTAATCCTCACCTTTTCCTAACTTCCTTGTTATTATCAAGAGCACCACCATCCTCCTGTCCCCCACACTCAAAACCTAGGTGTCATCCTTAACTCCTTGCTCTCACCCACTGCATCCAAATTGTTGCCAAGACCTGTCAATTTTACCTTCATAGCATCTCCTGATACACCCCCTTCTCTCCTCTGATACTGCCCCAACTCCAGCGTAGGCCGTCATCTCCTCATGCCTGGCCTATTCTAATACCCTGGGCACTCTGCCTGCCTCAAGTCTCCCCTCGTTCCCAGCCATCTTCCACTCTGGTATCCAAGTGATCTAGGTATCTCACCATGTCATCCCCTATTCAGTAAATGTCAATGGCTCCCAAATACTCCCAGGATCCAATATAAAACCCTCCAGTGTTCAGAGCCCTTCATGACCTACCCACAGTCTTTCTTTCCAGTCTTCTTACACCTTGTGCCTCTCCCCACCTTCTTCATCTCCACCTCCTGGCTTCCCTAGCTAGGTCCCAGATAAGTTCCACCTTCTACATGGAGCCTTTCCCAATCCCCTTTAATTCCAACACCTTCCCTCTGTGGATTATCTCCAGTTTTTTCTGTCTCTAGCTCCCGCATTAGACTTTGAGCCCTTGAGAGCAGGAACTCTTTTGCCTTTCTTTGTATCCCCAGCACTTAGCACAGAGCCTGGCACCTACTAATCATTTAATAAATGTTTATTAACTAAGATCAAAAAATTTGAGAATCACTGCTAAGGCTAAGTTGGAGAGAAGGTGCTGATCTGCATTGGTAGAGGGGGCTTCTCCCCCAGATACTTCTACTCCCAATGAAATCATCTTCCAAACTAAGTCACCATATACCTCAGACCTCAATGTGGGCCCAGAGATGACTCCGGCCATTTGCAGCATCTACCATAGCTTACTGGAATAGGCAGCCTTCTCCTCCCTCTCAGTGTTCTCTCCCTGCCAGGGCCAATCGCCACCTGCCCACTCCTCCTTCTGTATGATTCTTGTTCACATCCTTTCATAAACCACCATCATCTTTGTACCAGGGCCCCCCTTTGGGTGTTCTACTCACTCTGAAATGACTTTCAATCACAGATATTTCAACCACGTCCATTAAGATACAGCCCCTTTCAGTTTTGTGCTATGTGCTGCTAGTCATGTCTAGCACCTTTTAACTCCCCCTGAAGATAGTATTCATCATATACAGGCATGAAATTTCTAAATAATGAATGAACGGTCTTTGGCCACGTTCATCCTTAATCCTGAGCCGTGGTTTCTGGCATATTTTCCACAGTTCTCCCTGTGTCCATATTGAGTATTGAAGTATATGGAGACTTAGTTTGGAAGATCTTGTTGGTTCTTTGTAGAGTTTCTGTATTTACTCATCATCTACAAAAGAGCCAGACACAGAAGCTCCCACTCTCTTAACAGTGATTCCCTTACAAGTCTCCGTCATGACTGCTGCAAGTCATGATGAGCAAATATCCACTGGAGTGGTGTTTCTTGTTGTTCTTGGGTGCATGATGAACCCCCTTCTGCAAAAGCCTTGAGTCCTTCTTCCATTCAGTTGCAACTTTTTTTGTGGATCCTGGCTTAATTTATACTGAGAATAGTAACAGTATTGCCCCCAATGACGCTGTTAAGTAGGGAGTACACATCTTTAGTGTGTAAAGTAGCGATCATCCTGCAGGGGTCAGCACTTTCCCTAATAGGTCATTACTATTGACTCCTAAGTCAATTTTCCCCACACAAGAGCACAGAATTTGGAGTTGGGACACCAGGGTTCAAATCTCAGCTCTGATGTTTACTCCCTGTATGATCTTGGACCAGTCACTTAACTTGTCTGGGCCTTAGTTTCCTCATTCAGTTCAATTCAACAAGCATTTATTAATTCCCCAGCGTGTGCCTGGCACTTAGGACACAATGTCAAAATCCGTAAACCCTCCCCTCATCATTAGTGTTGGAAAACCCTGCTATGATGTTATGTAACAATCAGGGCCATGGAATAAAAAGAGTATGGGATTCAGGGTCCGAGGCCCCGCATTTGAACATCTCTTCGCTAGCAGTATGACCGCTTAACCTCTCATGTATAAAATGATGGGATTGGACCAGACTTTCTCCTTCAGATAGACCATTTCTCAACCTCTTTAACAAAGTCCAGTCAGACTGAGCCAGATTGCTTACAGGAGACACTTAGAGGAGAACACTTTTAAAGCTGTAGCACATTATTAAACTTTTACGAAGCTTAATAAAAACTCTTGAGGTTGTCTGAGCTTAGGATGAAGGTAGTGACATGTTTAATGTAGATATCAATTACAGAATTTCTTTTCTTTTTTTTCTTTTTTGTCTTTCAGGAAATATTCAAGATGTCATATTACAAGAAAATTTGGAGAAAGAAGATGAAATACTGGTGTCCTTAGCAGGATTAAAGCAGGTACGTGTTTTTAAATGAAATCATCCCTATTTTCATGTCCACAGTGTACATTTTGCACCGACTTTGGAGACCTACCGTCACATGTGGCAACATGGTTGCTGATTCCTTCCACCATCCTCCTGAAGCATAGCCTGTTTCCTCTGGAGCCCACTGCCCTCTGGCTGCTGTATCTTATCCTGCCAAGCCCTTGCTCCTCCCCCACCTGGTAGGCCTTACCCTGGACACCTCTCCTCCCCACGCCCACCTCCACTGCCACCTGGCTCCTCCCCCATACTTAGCGCTCACTTATCAGCAGACAGTTCTTGCAGGGGCCTTTTCATAATGTTATTTTCTATTCACTTGCTCAGTTCTGTTCACCCAGTATTTGGCTCTTTCAAATTGAATGCCAACATGATATCTTTGCGCCTGAATTTAAATGAGCCCAGAGGCGTCAACGTGTGGCAGGTGTCTATAAAAAAAGTCTGAGATGGGACACAAATGTCCACTGGTCACCCTTAGTTCTCGTCCCAGGGATTTTATCCTTATCATCCAAGGTGTTCAGGGTGTGTGGCATCAATCCGTGTACGTACACCTCCCGCTTGAAGATGACTCCAGTGGGATGAAGGCCAGCTATGGATGGCCCTGGGAGAGTTTGCCCTCGTGACGCTCTGACAGGAACATTGACTTCCTTGGCCATATCCAGGACAGCCTTTAAGAAGAAAACTGCTTGTAACAAGAGATGGAGCTGTTGTTTTTAAAACACACAAAAAACCTCATCCGGTGTTTTCATTGCTTTTCCTCCTACTCGACAATAGATCAAAGATATCCTCAAAGGTTCACTCCGCTTCAATCAGAGCCAGCTGGAAGCTGAGGAGAATGAGCAGATCACCATAGCAGATGACCATTACTGTTCCAGCGCTCAGAACCAAGCAGTGGCTGACAGGGACCCAGGTTGGAAGCAGCACTCCCAGGTGCCCCATAAGGTACAATAGCACCAGTGAAATGGGCTGGGGGGAGCGGCGCTCATTTTGCTCAAGTACATGGATGACAAAAATGTAACTTGAATAGTTCTACCATCTTCACATACTGGCTTCTGCTCTTGAGTCAGCAACAGAGAACTTGTTTGGCCTCAGTGGGGTACAGACCCTGGGCTGAGCACTAGAGGAGATCCCGAGCTTAGATTAGACAGGGTCCTGCCCTCTTAGAGCTGACAGTCCATTACTGTGAAATAACCAGAATGACCCGACAGAATCCCTTCAGCCTTTCCTCCTCCTTGTCTTCCTCCAAAGCCCCAGGCTCACCCCGCAGATGTTTGATTACTATTCCTCTGCTTCTGTCTGTTGGGGCTGGTGCCATTCTGCTCTTTCACACTCAGACAGAAACCCTAATTTCTTTGTAACACATGTTCTTTACCAAAAGATCTGGAGAGAGACTTCATCAGCTTCCATTCTGTGAATGTCAAGACTGTGCCGTATTGCAGTTCATTAAGGTTATAACAGTATTCATTTTCACCCCCGTTTTTGAGTTCCTACTAATATATGTCTGATGAATCCATACATTTGTTCAACAGACATTCTTTGAACACCTCTCTGCCCCAGGCCCTGAGGGGGAGTCCCTGCCTTCAAGGAGTTTACTATCTAATCAGAGATCTAAGGCCTAGACACAAATATAATACAAAAAAAGGGGCAAATGCTCAAAATAAGGGAGGGGTCTCTTCCAGGTGTGAACAGGGGGAGATGAGATCAGAGAGCACCTTGATTGTATCAGGGGGAGATGGCAGGTAAGGAATCAGGAAGGGGCAGGCGCCGAGGCCACAGAAGCAGGGAAACACACAGGGTTTGACAGGGAAGGCGTGTGCCTGCTGTGGCTGGAACAGGGGAATGTGACCTGCAGTAGTGGGAGAGAAGACGGGGATGACGGGAGCATAGGTGGAGCCAGGTCTCAGAGGGCTTTTGAATGTCTAGGGAAGCAGGTCAGGAGACAGCGGGGACCTGTGGAAGGTTTTGGAGCAGGGGAGGGATCAGAAGACAAAAATAGCTCAATGAAGACGGATATAGGATCACAAAGAAGATAATTTTATTTTTAATTTTTTTTAGTTTTGTGTAAATTTGATATGTTTGTGACATTTATGAAGGAAAAGTACTTAAGAAGCTTACAAACCATTGGGTTGTTTTGTTTTTATTTTTTTTCCTCTGATAAAATTAATGACTTATGAGATAAGTTTAGGTTTCTCACAGAGTCAGCCTTGTACATTGTGCAAGGACCATACTTTACATTCATCCCACTTTAAGGAAGCCTCAGTGTCTGGAGTATTTTGAGTGTGGGGTTTTTTAAACTAAAAAGATTATCACAAAAGACTATAAGAAGTCAGTAACTACATTTGAAAACTTAAATGAACCAAATGTCACTGCCATAATTCTTCCTTTCTCTCAGGTAATGATTTCATTGATAAGAGATTATTTTTAGAATATACCTTAGCTATAGCAGAAATGTGCTGTTGGCATCAGTACAAGGCTATCTATATTTTGATGCATTTATTTCATATATATTTAAAATTAATTACTTTGTTTTTTTAATTTAATATTATTTTTAACTTTAAGATATGAACATAATTGCCTAAAGTGACTTCTAAAACAACCTGTTTTTCAAAATGTAATATCCACTCAGTCTGGTTCTGCAAAGTAAAGATGTTATTTATTATTTCCTTTTTATCGTGTTATAGATTTCTTTATATATATTTCTCTACTTGTTTTCTTCCTCATTAGATTGGAAACTTCCTGAGGGCAGGGACTGTCTTGTGCTTCTTTTTTTATTCCCAGCACTTAGCATAGAGCCTGGCATGTAGTAAAGTTTAATAACAATAAATGTTTATTGATTGACTGATGCACGGATTTTATCACCTGACCCGTCCTTTTTCTAGCCTGTGGAACCATTGGTTGCCTCCATTGCACCGACACAGCCGTCTTCATGTGCCCAAACGATACAGTAAAAGATTACACCATGCTCTAATTAACTTCAGTGTTTAGGAGCTGTCAAGATTGTTACATAGTAACCAAAATGATTCACACTGGGACAGACTTTTCTCTTTCTCCCATTTTGCCAAGCTTTGTTCCATAGGAAAGATTTTGCAAGGTCTCTTTCTTTCTTTCTTTATTGTGACTCTATCTATCACTGTGAAGCTGTCAAAGGCACAGATATTTGAAAAGGATGCTTTACATACCTTTACTGCTCCCCTGGAAGCATTAGATCTGTTAGTTAGACATTCTTAACCTAGGATCTGTAAACCTGTAGATAGATAGATAGTTGTATTTTAATATATTGGTTTTCTATGTATTATATTCTAAAATATTAAGCCACCTCACAGTTAAACATCCCAGGGCAGACCTTCACCTCCAGCGCAGAGGGTTTCATTGCTGAAATGTCACTAACTCATTTTAACATTGAAAATGGTACCATCTCTGACAACCTAAGCTGCAGAGTAGAGGCCAATCTGCAATAGTAAAGCAAGTTGCTCATGGGTAATTCCTACACTGATGAAATCTCGGAGCCAGAGAGGAAAAAATGGAAAACAATAAAACCTTTCCACTCCATGCCATTATTTTAAGAAACAAACTCATCAATGCTATTTCTGTCACAGAAATACTCCAAGAGCCTGTTACCCTCCAGCTTATGGTTAAGATGCTGGCAAGATGTTTAAGAAAAGAAATGTTGTCTACAGCAGGGATTCCTAATGTGGGGGTCCATTCCTAGGTTTTGTGGGGTCCTTGAATTTGAATGGGAAAAAATTAAACCTTTATTTCAACATAAGAACCCCCCCCACCCCTGTTGGATCATCTTTCCTCATCACTAATAATGGCCCTGGTGACATATAGAAATCCACCCCATTGTTACCCCATCTCTTCCTTATCCAGAATTGGGCTGTGATCCAGGCCCTGTCAGTAACTATGTGGCCTTTGGCAAATCACTTGCCCCTCTTGGCCTCTTCTCTCCTCTGTAAAATGAGGGTTCGACATGAGTTTTCTAGGCTCTTTTGTAGTTCTAAAATGCAGGGATTCTGTGCCACCTTGTAAGTCCAACTGAAAAGATTATGTAATTAAAGAATGTAGGAATTTACCATATATTTAATGATGCCACAAGGTAAATAAAATATACTCATTACATCTTAAGTGTCAGCTTTAGACAAGGGGTTCTTAACCTTTCTTTGTATGCGTCATGGCCTCCTTGGGCAGTCAATCTGGTGAAGCCTACCTAAGAAGCCCTTCTCAGAAGGATGTTTTTAAATGCATAAAACAAGACCCAAAGCGTACAAAGGAAACCAATTATGTTGAAATAAAGGTGTAAATTTTTTTTTCCCATCCAAGTTCAAGGACCCCATGACATCCACACATGGACCCCCATGTTAAGAACCCCTGCTGTAGACAACATTTCTTTTCTTAAACATCTTGCCAGCATCTTAACCATAAGCTAAAGGGTAACAGGCTCTTGGAGTATTTATCTGTGATAGAAACAGCATTGATGAGTTTGTTTCTTAAAATAACGACATGGAGCGGAAAGGTTTTATTGTTTTCCATTTTTTCCTCTCTGGCTCTGAGATTTCATCAGTGTAGGAATTACCCATGAGGAACTGCTTTACTATTTGTAGATTGGCCTCTACTCTGCAGCTTAGATTGTCAGAGATGGTACCATTTTCAATATTAAGATGAATAAGTGACATTTCAGCAATGAAACCCTCTGTGATGGAGGTGGAAGTCTGCCCTGGGATACTGACCGTGAGGCAGCTTCCAAGCTCAGGAGGGCGAGTCTGAGTTTTACTCAGAGTATCAGGAACCTGCCCTGAATTTATCTCAGCTTATTAGTCTATAAATTTGGAAAGACAAGGCAGCTTCAGTGCCCCGTGCCTTCCCAGGGCCCCTTGGGCCTGGGCTCTGGCTGCACTGCCTTCCTCTGTAGTGAGGAAATACTACTTCATTAGGAATCACAGTTAAGGGACAAACTCAGAATTTTCACTCTCATGTAGTAGGCATCACATATTATTTTATAATAATAATAATAATAGCCAGCATTTATAGAACACTCAAAGCTTTGCAAAGCACTTTACAGATATCCATCCATTTGATCCTCACAACAACCTGTCAGGTAGGTGCCATTATTATCTGTTTTACAGATGAGCCACACTGAAGCAGAGGTCAAGGCAAGTGTCCAGGGTCATACAATTAGTCACGGTCTGAGGTCTGATTGGAACTCACATGTGCCTGACTGTCCATTGCACCATCTGGCTGCCTCTGTCAAGGCACATCCTATATTACAATGTTATAATTATTTTCAGGTCTGTCATGTTTGTTCCTGAGGTCGGGAACTATATCTTTAAACCTTGTACAAAATAGCAGTCTGCACAGCGTAAACAATAAATGTTGATTGAATCTAGCATTCTTATGTTAAGGAGAAATTTGTGTTGTTTTTCTGATGCTGAGTACCTTCAGATGTCTTGAATGGTTCGGGTCTGGTACTATCCAGAGGTGAGCACTTAACTTGTTGGCTTTTTGAGGCTGTAGTCACCAAGTCCCATAATCTCGCAGTTTAAAAGGACTTTAAGGTCCAACCAGATGTGGATATTCTTAACTGGGTGGTGCCGTGGCTAGAGAGAGATTTGGAGACAGTGAGACCTGAGTTCCAGTCCTGCCTCAGACCCTTTCTAGTTGTGTGGCCTCTTTCAGCCTCACTTTCCTCATTGGTCAAATAAGGAGAACCATGGCACCTACTTCCCAGGGGTGTTGTAAGGACAATATGTCCAAAGTGCTTTGCAAATCATAAAGCGCTCTGTAAATGCTAGTTGTTATTATTTCCGCCGAAGGAGCAGCCTTTCTTTCCATCTAAAGTAAAGGAATTTAGCTGCTAATTTGGGTCTCTTCAGATAGCCATTCACCTTGAGAGGCCACTTCCCAGCAGCCCTCCAGCACAGTCACGTACCATCCAAGCAGCCCCT